CCCTCCCTCCCTCCCTCCCTCGAGAATGGAGCTGGAGATGGTATCCTGCAATCCCAAATAAAGAATGATTGATCGGTAGGAAAACAGGGTGGGGAATTTTCCTGCAGACTTTTTGGGGGATTTTCCCAGGGTCTCTGGTCCACGGGATTTAAAATTATGAGTTTGGTGGTTCCTGAGGTCCAAAAGGTTGATGACCCCTGCTCTACCCAGCTCACCATATGGTACCTGGGAAGATTACATCACACAGCAAGATTCAACCAAGCTTGGGACTAAAGACAACCTACAAAGTTACCCTGCATGGTCCCATGGGAGTCTGGGTACATTTCTTGCCACAAGAACAGGAAGCAAGTTCAAAGCTCAACAGAGGGTATAAATCTCTCCCTCTCTCACCCATGTGCTCCTTTTTGCCCAGGACCTCAATGTGGTCCTGTCCACCATTAAACCATCTTTCCAAGCAATCTCCATGTTTCCAGTGTCTTTTTTCCCACTTGGAACTGAACCCAGATGGACATTTCTTCCAACAATTTGATACCCAAAGATGGGATTCCAAGCTAACCTGACCAATGGACCTGGCCCAGGTAAGCCTCCTTTGCTGGCAGCAGACCCATTACATCTGTGAGTGAGTTTTCCTGGACCTTGGCCATTTGGAACAAAGGTTAAAACCTTTGAGGGGTTTTGAGTGTTGAGCTCAAAGGCTGCTTGGAAAGAAGATGATTATCTCTAAACTTTAACTTTTAAAGCCCAGAAAAATGTGGGAAATGTGTGTATGCCTGTATGAGTGAGAGGGCCCTTCTCCCAATCACAGCTAGGTGTTGCTTTTTCTGGGCCTTTCCTAGCCACAGAAAAGCCCAGGGCCTGGAAAGTATAGGAGGTCAGGTCAGAGCACAGGACCTTCTGTTAGGGAAGGGGATGTGTGTGAAAATGGAATGGAAAAGTGACTGAGAGAGTTGAACTTTGGGCAGCCAGCTGAAACGTCACTGAACAAAACCTTGTGTTAGGTGCCCATACTCGAATGCTTAGGAAAATCAGCAGGTTCTCCCAGACCCCCATCGGAAGGGGAACATGGGAAGCTGTAGCTTGAAGGTAGTGACTAAATCCTAGGAGATTTAGGAAAAAGATTTGAGCAAATTGTGTAAAGAGTAGGCTTTGCTCAGGGATGGGGTGAAGCTGGAAAACCAATTTGGCTAAATAAATATACTTAAAAGAAAAGGAAATATATAAATAGGAATGTTGGGGGTTTTGTTTGTCTGTTTGTTTCTCTCTTCCTCTCTATGCAACTATGTGATATATTTATTAAGATTTGTGCCTTTCCTAATTTAACTGAGAGTTATGATGGGAATGACCAGTGTGTGAGAGTTCTGTTTTCTTCTCTTTTCTTCTCCTTGTTTGTTTGTGTGTTTGTGTGCTCTCAAGGTAATTGTAACTGTAAAATGTCTCCAACCCGAAAGACAAAAAATTTAAATTGCTACAAAAAATTTAAAGCACTGAAAGGAAAGAAAAAGCCTTCCTTTTGTCTGGCCCACAGAACAGAATGAAGAAAAACTGAGTTCATTTTGCTCTCCTCTCTATGCTTTTAAGAAAAGCCCAAGGTTATGAGCGAATGTTTGAAGTTAATTTACTGTGTGTTTAAGTGGTTTCATCTGTCCATCCACATCTGAAGCATGTGAATCCAGGTTTTTTCTTCTCATCTGTAATATCCCCATTTTGTTAAAATTGATCTATCTGTTTAAAAACTGCAGTATTTTTTTTCCTTTCTCAAATCCTGCGGGCAAGCTATCTACCCAACCCCACTCTACCTCCCCATCTCTTATTCTCAAACAATGACTTTCCTGTGAGGATCACCCACAAAGGTGATCACACACACACACACACACACAAACACACACACACACACACACACACACACACCCTTCTAACCCTGCTGGAGCAGGTGATTGGACTAGAATAGATGTCTCATTATCTTTCTCCCTCCCTCCTTTATTTCTTTTTCTTTCTGTCCCCTCCTTCCATCCCCCCTCTTTCTTTGTCCCTTTTTCTTTCTTTCCCTTTTCTCTTTCTTTTCTTTCTTCTCTCTTTCCCTCTCTCAGGCCTACCCCATTGACTTGACTTGCTTGGGCAGGTCCCTCCAGTGCAGTAGGCTCAATGGGGTGGACCTGCGGGGCCAGCACCTAGAACTCGGCAGTGGCGGCATGTTTGAAAAGTAGAGCAAAGCCAGAGGTTGGTTATTTCTGCTGCAAAGAATCACAAAAGCTTCTGGGTTGTGCACAAGTAAGGACACACATGTCAATGCAATTCAGCAACATAAAATAAAGGGATACAAATAAAACAAATCAACAAGAATCGGCAAAGCATCTCTGATTAGATTTTATTCACTACTAGAATCTAATCAGAGATGCTTTGCCGATTCTAGTCCAATGACCTGCTCTAGCGGGGTTAGAAGGGAGTGTGTGTGTATGTGTGTGCATGGCTGTCAAAACTCCAAAAACAGGTCAAGTATCTCTGGGGAGGCCAGTCATAAATTACAACACTTGCTAAACAATTGGCCATTAAGTGAAGACCACTTGTTTGCCAGTCACCTGGCCACACCCACCCAGTCACATGACCACCAAACCATACCTACCCAGTCATGTGACCAGCAAGCCATGCCCAGCCAGCAAGCCACGCCGGCCAGTGATGTGACCAGCAAGCCACGCCCACCCAGTCACATGACCAGTAAGCCATACCCACCCAGTCACGTGACCAGCAAGCCACACCCTCAAATTAGGCCACGCCCACAGAAATCTGAATCCCACCCCTGGGTGGGGGGCACCGAGGATGAGTTTGTAGCACCAAGGGGGCGGTGGACTGAAAAAGTTCGGGAACCACTGTTGTAGAAAGTTAGCACCCACCCCTCTCCTAGAAGAATGCAATATTCTAGGAAATGCTAAAAAGGCAGAATGTTATATTTCCATGGATGAGAAAAGCAGAAACATGTTTTTAAAGACGAATTAGCTTCCTGCAGCTCCCTGCTCCCCTTCAGCTCTAATAATAGATTAAGGTAATAGATTAAGATATGGCTCTCAGGATTAGCGCTCTACCCAACTCACCACATGGCACCTGGGATGATTACATCACCCAGCAAGTTTCAATCAAGCTTGAGACTCAAGACAACCTACAAAGTTATCCCTGCATGGCCCCATGGGAGTTTCACAACCAGTCAGGGTACATTTCTTGCCAGAGGAACAGGAAGCAAGTTCAAAGCCCAACAGAGGGTATAAATCTCTCTCCTTCTCTCACCCATGTGCTCTTTTTTGCCCAACACCTCAATGTGGTCCTGTCCACCATTAAATCATTTTTTCCAAGCAGTCTCCATAGTTCCTGTATCTTTCTTCCCACTTGGAACTTAATCCAGATAGCTGTTTTTTCCAATAAGCTTTTTGGAAGACACTTATGTCTTTGTTATGAATAAAATCCTGATTGCTTTTACGGTCCACTATTTTTTACAAAAATTGCTATATTCATTCTTATGATGCTCATGCCAATAAACTTCCTTAATTTTATCAGATTGGGGTTGATAACAATAATGATATTGCTGTGGATGGGAAATGTTTGCCAGCCGATTACATTGGCTATTCACTGCAAGTATTCCTTTCAGAGTTTCACAATACCTTTCCATAGACAGGGAAGCAAAGTTAAAATAAAACAGCAATGGACTGCAAATAACCCAAAACATTGAAAGAAGAAGCTTTATCTCCTTTCCCTCATTCCCTGCCAATCCCTGACTTGAAGGAGACTTTGTTTCTTTATAGTTATTTATTTATTTATTAGATTTTTATCCCTCCTTTATTACTTTATAAGTAACTTGAGGTCCGAATACCAGTTATCCTTGACAATTGAGACCAGAAGCAAGATGGTTGAATGAGTTGCAAGCAATTTGACTTTTTTTTTACCGTGGTTGTTAAATGAATCGTATGGTTGTTAAGCAAATCCAGCTTCCCTGATTGACTTCGTTTGTCAAATTGGATGAGAAGGTCCCAAATTGTGGCCACATGACTCCAGGATGCTGTATCCATCATAAATACACCAGTTGCTAAGTGCAATTTTGATCACATGACTGCAGAGATGTTTCAATGGTCATAAAAGTGGACCTGTTGTAATTAACTTTTTTCATTGCTGTTGTAAGTTTGAACCATTGTTACATGAATGGTTATAAGTTTAGACTATCTGTACTCCTCTTTCCTCTTATTTTACCTACAACAGTAGCCACATGAGGTAGGTTGAGCTGAGAGAGAGTAACTAACTCAGTCAGCTTTTATACCAGACTAGAACTCACAGCCTAATTGTTTTTAGGTCAGCATCTTAACTCCTACACAAAATTGGTTCTGTTTTTAAAATTCTTTATTTAAAATGGTTGTATTTTTTTATAGACCGATACTGGCTATAGGACAAAAAATTAAAAAAATGTTTTAAATCTAGCTTTTGAGTAAATTTATCTGTTCAAACATCTTGTTTAAATTATTGGCACTCTTTCTGAATGTGGAGTAATCATGCTAATTGGCGCTATAATACTATTGTAACAATTAATAAACAAGTGAAAGTGAAGCATCTGAAAATCTTTGTTTTTTCTCTTTTTTCAAATAGCAGAGGACTAAAAATCTAGAAATGCAGACTCTAGTTATAATATTGATGTAACTATCTGATACAAGGAATGATAAAATGTACAATGAGGCATCACTGTGAAAATAATGCAAATTATATAATTCATGACTTCATGTGACATACTTATCCCCTTCTGCCATACAGACATCATACAGACACCCATGACTTAAGTCAGGAGAAGGAATTCAATCAAGAACTTTGATAGCCATGTGAACTTTGTCCAGCCTCTCTCTTACTAGAAGTAAAGCTGTACTTCAGGGAGTCTTTTTACTTTTTTAGAGAGAATGTGAGAGGAATATGTACATTGTCTTATTCTCCTTGAAAAAATGACAGGTTAAACATATAATATGAAAATATTTTAGTATTTTATGCTATGACTGTTGCATGGAATTTATTTACTATTAGAACCAAACAGTTAGAGCCTTTAAGAACTATGGTATGTTGTATTTTTCATCCCAATCGTATGTGCTATTTGATCATTTTTTGGTCATTTATCATTTTGCTAATAATACCACACTAAATAATTATGCAGAGCTTCAATAGTAACAGAAAAAAAATCCCTGAAACTTACATTAGAATTGTATTAAATATCCAAAAGCTTTCTGGTCTCTGTTTCTGCCCTTTCAAACTGAGCCTAGCTGAAGTAAAGTTCAGTTTTACTTTAAAATGTTTTCTGTCCTCCTGTTTCCGTTTAACATTCCATTGGGGGCCTCTGTGAATTACCAGATGATACTTAATAACTTGATTCCTTCCATGGCTCCCTCAGTGTCTTATTATTCAACATATTATTTTGGCTTTCTTCTAGGGAGAACTAGAAAAGTTGAATCAATCTACAGATGATATTAATCGGAGAGAAATGGAGCTTGAGGTACACTTTTTCCTTGCTGTTTATCTAAACATCCAACTATATTTCTTTTATTTAACTACATTTCAACTGGAAAATATTTATTTAGATTATTGCAGAAGAAACTAATGAAAACATTTGTATGGATTAAGTTAGTGAATGAAGGAAAAGAAAGTCAACTATGCCCATCTCTGATATGAAATTGGATGAAACATTCTATCTATAGTATCATGGATTTCATTAATCTTCTTTATTATTCTTACACCAACCAAAAATCATGCTTAGGAATCCAAGTGACAAGTAAGGTTGTTTCAAAATATTGTTTTATTTTCTTAAGGTACAAAACGTACTTTTTCTTAAGGTACAAAAAAATAGAAAAAAGCAGAAAAGTAAACTTATAAATAGAATTCATTTACAGCAAAACTACATTGACTATTAAAAATAAAAACGTTATAACATATATAAAAATACAGTAGTAACAAAATTATTGTATTTCAAAATTCCTAAAAACAACATAAAATAATGTAGCTCTGCTTTCAAAAATGTTAATTTGAGACCACATGAAAAAATATTTTCTGATCTTTCTTGTCTGTGAATATGAAGCCACACAAAGCTTACATGTTATACCAGAGCAATTGTAAATTATATTTGGACATAATAATTCAGAATTCTTAATTTACTATGAACTAGCAAGGTGGTGGGTGACTCAGCCTCTCCCTTCCCATTTTTTGTGTGCAATGCTAATGAGTTCAGACAGCTATAATATATAAATTCCAGAATCTCTGATTAGGTTGGTCCAAATGAGAATGGGACTATAAGCCAATAATAATTAAGAAACCTTGCTTTTTTCTGAATCTGGTTGATTTTTTACAGCAAAAAAAATAACAAAAACAAAACCATGAGTCGGGTTGTCATGATAAGCTTTCTCTGTATCACCCATATCAGTAGATATAATACAATTAGCCACATTCATCAACCTGCTGCTTTTTCATAGTAACTTAAGATAATCAAAAAATAATACAATTATTAGAGATGACACTTAGATTTGATAGCCTAGCATTTTTAGATTTTTACATCCAAAATGTGAAGGCACATAATGAAATATTTTATTGGAGAAGATATAGCTTCCATAAAAGAAAAATGCTATTTGTTTGGCATTAGTTTTGGGGGTACTACATTATATTTAATCAGTTCCAAGCAAACCACATGTTGCCTTAATGTGAAGGATAACCAGACTATTTAGATCATTTTTCTGACCCCTTTCATATAAGACAGTATGATTTATACCTTGTTTCATATGTATCTGTTTGGAAAAGGCTAAATTGTGTTTGCCTAACAGTAACTTCCTGTACCTTCACATTTAAACCTCTGCCCTTTAGTTGATCATAGCCAGCTTCAGATCAAAATTCAGAGTCGTGGCAAAGGAGAAGCAGCTATTCTGGGAAAGTACAGTTGTGTCAACCAGGCAATCTCTGCTAGGATCTCTGTATGTTAATGTGTGCAAAGGGCAGCGAGGTCCAGCTTTACTGGCTGGTGCTTTGCATATATATAGCTTTTTGAATCAGGCAAGAGTGTTAGGAAGCATTCACCTACTTTTCAGTGTATGCCAGTAAGGGTGTTTGATCAGTAGGGTGTTTATGGAAATTAATAGTCAGAGGTAATATAGCTGAATAAATACTTTATTTAATAACTTTATTGATAGCAAAGGATGTTCAGAACTTCCATGGGGATAAGGAGAGGATTGGGGATAGAAATAAAGATTATTCCATTCCTTCTTCACTAGATTGTTTTATTTTCTGTACTGAGTCCAGAGGAAGGAAAAACTAAACTTAGTATGTTTTAGTTATACATGGATGGAGGGAACTTCCCAGGCTGGAACATGGATGAAGATTAGTATAGATATGGGAAGGAATCTGGAGACAAGTCCTATAAAGAAAAAGATTGTAAGTGTTTGGTATAAATAGTAATAATGACAACCCATGAACATGAAGTAATAATGACAACATATGAACATGAAATGATAATATGATAGCCAACTTCAAGAAGTTACACACAGAAGAAGCTTGTAATATTTGTTCATGTTACAAGCTTTTAATTAAACAATAAAAAACTTCCAATCTGATGAGTTCTTATATATAGAACAGATTATTTTTAATCCACTACAAGATTCTCAAGAAAATGTTAACTTTATTGTCTTTATTTTATGCTTACCTGTTGGAATACTGTAGAAGTGCACATCCTGTTTGGACTAGATCAGTGGTTCCCAAACTTTTTCAGTCCACCGCCCCCTTGGTGCTACAAACTCATCCTCGGTGCCCCCCACCCAGGGGTGGGATTCAGATTTCTGTGGGTGTGGCCTAATTTGAGGGTGTGGCTTGCTGGTCACGTGACTTGGTGGGTATGGCTTACTGGTCACATCACTGGCCGGCGTGGCTTGCTGGCTGGGCATGGCTTGCTGGTCACATGACTGGGTAGGTATGGTTTGGTGGTCATGTGACTGGGTGGGCATGGCCAGGTGACTGGCAAATAAGTGGTCCTCACTTAATGGCCGGTTGTTTAGCAAGTGTTGTAATTTATGACTGGCCTCCCCAGAGATACTTGATCTGTTTTTGGAGTTTTGACAGCCATGCACACACATACACACACACTCCCTTCTAACCCTTCTAACCCTGCTAGAGCAGGTCATTGGACTAGAATCAGCAAAGCATCTCTGATTAGATTCTAGTAGTGAATAAAATCTAATCAGAGATCCTTTGCCGATTCTTGTTGATTTGTTTTATTTGTATCTCTTTATTTTATGTTACTGAATTGCATTGACATGTGTGTCCCTTCTTGTGTACAACCCAGAAGCTTTTGTGATTCTTTGCAGCAAAAATGACCAACCTCTGGCTTTACTCTACTTTTCAAACATGCCACTACTGCCGAGTTCTAGGTGCCGGCCCTGCAGGTCCACCCATTGAGCCCACTGCACTGGAGGGACCTGCCCAAGCAAGTCAAGTCAATGGGGTGGGCCTGAGAGAGGGAAAGAAAGAGAGAGAAAGAGAGAGAGAAAAAAGAAAAGAAAGGGAAAGAAAAGAAAAGAAAAGAAAGGGAAAGAAAGAAAAAGGGACAAAGAAAGAGGGGGGGGGGATGGAAGGAAGGGACAGAAAGAAAAAGAAATAAAGGAGGGAGGGAGAAAGATAATGAGATATCTATTCTAGTCCAATCACCTGCTCCAGCAGGGTTAGAAGGGTGTGTGTGTGTGTGTTCTTGTAATTTACAAGTACATTTTGGTTTTGCCTTCTTCAGAATTGGCACTGTAATACATTGGGGAAAAGTAATTTTTAGGGTGGAGATCTGGTCCAATTGATCCTGTTTAAAGCCTCAACAAAATGTGAGAGCTTCCTGATAGTCTTGACCATGTTTTGTCCACAAAACCTATAATAGAAGCCAAAGATGTTTCAATGTGCTGGCAAAGATGTTTCAATGTGGAAAAGGGCCTCAGTCTAAACTAGGCCTCATTTCAATCTGATGCATCAGCTCTTTCTCCCTCCCTTCCTCCCAGACTGGCTTTGTTCTACTTTCCCAATGTGCCTGCAGGGCTGGCCCTTTGAACATGGATGGATGGATGGATGGATAGAGAGAGGGAGAGAGGTAGGTAGGTAGCTAGATAGATAGATAGATTGGTAGGTAGGTAGGTAGGCAGGCAGGCAGGCCTTTTGGATAAATGTATGGATAGGTAGGTAGGTAGATAGATTGGTAGATAGGTAGGTAGGAAGACAGAAAGACAGGCTGGCAGGCAGGTAGGTAGGTAGGCAGGCAGGAAGGCAGGCAGACAGACAGACCTTTTGGAGGGATAGATAGACAGACAGACAAAGGAAGAAAGAAAGAAAGAAAGAAAGAAAGAAAGAAAGAAAGAAAGAAAGAAAGAAAGAAAGAAGAAAAAGAAAGAAAGAAAGAAAGAAAGAAAGAAAGAAAGAAAGAAAGAAAGAAAGCGACAGCAGTGACACTTTGGGAAAGTAGAGCAGCAAAGCCAAGTGGGAATTGAAGTCCACACAAGTTGCCAAGGTTGAGAAACATGGGCTGAATATATCAGCCCAGCCATTCTGGTTAGAGTTTAGCATGCTGTTTGATTCTGGCTTAGTCAATAAACCATAGCTAAGAACTTCCTGCTCCTTAATGCAGCTGCCCCTCTGCCCCTTCTCCAGCCCCCTGCCCCAGTTCTTTCTTTGGCATCCAATTTTGCAATGCTCCATCTGGAAGGAGGAAGGCGTGCAGAAACAGCCCAGACTGGCGGAGGGAATGATCACTTAGAAAGTAAGTAAGCAAGCAAGTGCAGGGCTCGGTCAGAAGAACCGGGCTGCAGAGGGAGGCTAGGTTCTAGGTCCGGGCTGGCCACATAGAGCCGAACCGAGCCACGCGCCTTGGAGAGCCGCAGCTGCACCCACCCGCATCCTGCGTGCAAGCCCGGCTGGCTGGCGAGGTGGAGGCCAGGCAGGCGCTGCACGCTCCCTTGTTCTCCGGGGAAGGGGGCCCTAATGGTGGACCACCCACTCCTTCCACTGCACGCCTTGGGAGGGTTTTGCTTTCAGGCCTTCTGGCGTGCCTCCGCTGCTTCCACCAGAAAGGGCAGTCTGCAAGCTAAGGCTCCCCCTTTCCACCACTTTCCACCTCTCCCCCCCCCAGGCTTGGCAAGGCTCGCCGCACGCAGGTTCCACATTCAAGGCGCCGGCTACAGAGTGATGAAACAGTCAATGGGCTGTGTGGCCGGCAGTCAGTGAGCCTGCGGGGCCGGCGCCTCGAATCCCCCCCTGCCACCTCTTAGTGCCCCTCTGCCAGCCCTCTTGCCTCTTAGCACCCCCCTAAGGCATCCCCCCCAGGGGTACGGCAGTCAGTGGCGGCAGATTCCAGGTGCCGCCCCCCTAAGGCATCCCCCCCCAGGGGTACTGCTCACTTTTGGAACCACTGTGAATCTACAATTTCCTCCTTTTTGCCAAAATATATGGGTGGAACACATGTTATTGGCAAAAAATTGATCAGATCAG